GTATATTCCAGTAAAATTCTTACAATGAACAATCATGGAATCGATAAAAACATTAATAACCTATAGTTTTTTTGATTGGAAAACTTTCTATTAATACTTTAAGCACTTTAACTTTTCATACGTGAGATATTCACAATTAACATGTACTAACAATGAAGCATTTGCTAACTATTATATACTGTCCTTGTAATACGGTACAATTTAATCCATTGTTACTTTTATCCCTGAGGGTGTATCATTATTATAACATAATTTGTGAATAGTTTCTATGCGTACACAAGATTAATCGTGCCACAAGATTCCATTATACGTCACACAGTCATACATGACAGAGAAGAGTTTATCAATCAGAAGTTGCTGTTTCCTTTATTCAAGTGACTTTTTTTGGCAAAAACAAAAGAAATACGATCAAAAAAAGAAATATAAAGATCCGATTGGTCGGAGCTCAAGATCCGGGAAATAAACATGAAAAAAGTATAAATAAGAACCTGAAATAATAAATTTTATTCCAAATTACAAATAATGGTAGAAACCCCTTTCTTTAAATATCTTTTCTTCTTAACTTATTTACTTCCTAAAGTATCAGCAAGTTTACAACTTTCTGATACGTTTAACTTTAAAATAGTCGATTACATACCTTATATTGTGGTCACTGCAATTCTTTTAATCCTTATAATCTCAGAAATAATTTTGGAAATTCTGAGACCCCCGTATGCAATATGGATAAGTTGCACAACTTATTCTATCTATGCTGCCTTAATAATACTTCTATTATTCATTTTTCCGCCTATATTCTCTTATGTGGCACAAGGTTTTAGTAGAGTAACAATAACTTTAATATGTGTTAATAGTTTAATTATCGGAGTGTTAATAATTTCACTACTTAGTTTAAATTATTCCTATACAGAAAATAAGTGTTCCAAATTTCTCTTTGAAACATCGATGTATATCCTCATAGCAGATTTTATCTTATTAATGATAATTACGCCCGGTTTTGATGTTAAAATTCATGTTCTATTTATAGTTATTTTATTAATATTAGTTATTTCTTTACTTTTTTTATGTTATTTTTCATCAAATAATGGATGTTGTGATTGGTATGCGGAAGTAATTATGTTAATGGTAATAATTTTGGTTGGAATAGCAAATTACCTATTATATCTCGGTATTTTAAAACAAGTAAACAAACTTTCACTTCTATTGTTTTGGGCAAATTTGTGGTTTATATTAATTTCTATCAGTAAGATATTTATACCCAAATTTAAACTAGTTTTTATAAGTGATTATCCAAGAGACTATCCAAGAGTAAGTGATGAGGTAAATGAGATCCCGTAATAAAAATGGATTGTAAAATAATATCGATATATAACACTTTTTAGCAATATAGTTTTGTTACTAGTAGTTAATAATAAAGTTTCAAATAGTGATTGAACCCGGGTTGGGTTAACCCGGGTATACCCGGGTGGGTCGGGTATCCGGGTTGTGATTGTGTCTACCCGGGTAGGCTTTGACGGTAGACCCACGGGTTTACAGTAGGGTTAGACGGGTTAACCCATGGGTCTACCCGTGAGCCAACCTGCTGTCATAGCTGTTTTCATAAATTCTGGAACACCTGATAAAAATTTGCCGAATGCTTTTCGGCCGATTCAATTAAGTTTGATTTCGGCATGATTGATTCAAACTGATATACAGTAATACAAGATCTTACACACTGTGTCAAGGTTTAATATGCAGCAAGAATCAAATTACCGCATTAAGCTTACTGTATTACATGTAATTATTGTGACGGATTAATATGAAATGAGAGATAGTGTAAAATAAGAGTTTACTAATTTCTCCACACTTCTGATTGGTTCTACTAATTATTCACATATCGTAGTATCTGTGTTATTAATAGTACTTCGATAGTGAAGTGGGGAGAGAAATTAGTAAACCCATAAAATAGTCAAGCCATTGAAAAATACAAAATTTCGGTGTGCACTTTTTTAGGATTGGTGTTTAGGGTAGATTTCATAACAAACCAGTATAAGTGGGTTTAGGACAAATAGAAACCCCTCATTTCATTAATATAATCCACGACGTTATTGTAAAAAAATGCAAGCATCGGTACTTAGATTTCTAATTTTAAATAATTAGAATATTGCTGTAAAGATTCAAACATCTATATTTGAAATTATGCGCTTCGCGCACCTGCTTTAAGACAATGGAAGTAAATATTCAAATTATTTTAGCAAGATTACCAATAGTGTAGGCTGTTCAATCTGTTGATTTTGTTACTTTTCAAGAAAATTTTTGTATTAATACTAATTCATTATTTCTTAAATGTTAATAAATTTATTTTTTAAAAAAAATAAACTAGAACTTGCGACTTCGTTAAATCCGGTAATTTATCGAGTATATTTAATGTGCAGTAAATATTTGTGATCTTGAACAACCTAAGCATATTAATAAAACATAGAGATTAAATGAATGTAATGAAATGAATGGAAGGATACAGAATTCATCACATTAAGTTGTGTTAACAAATTCATAATATCAAGAGAACTTAAACAGGCTAACTTTGAGCTTAGCTTCACTATATGAATGTTGCAGAGCGAATGTCTGTAACTGAACTTAATTATTTATTATAATCAATTACAGGTTTTCACTTTGTTATATTCATACCAAGAATTAATTATTTTCTGCTATACCCAATATTCACTATAATTGGTATTACGAGATAATAAATGATATTTTATTTGAATAATTCTTAACATGAATATTCATGATTTCGATTCGTATGCATGAACATTAACAATAAAAACCATAACATTTTATATAATAGTCAAAATTCAAAATCTCACAAAATCTAGTATGTATTACCTTTATTTATTTCCTTCTTATTTACATATATTTATTAGATAGCCACTATTAAAGTAACATTATGAGATTTTTTTTGTTATCTTAATAGGCTTTTTTGATCCTTTTTATCACATGGAATTATGCGCACTTTTCACCTCTAGTCTGCATATGGGTTATACACTCTACTATTTGATGTACTGCTTGGTGTATCAGCATATGGGTTATATACTGTACTACGTGTTGTGCTCCTTGTTCTACTACTCGTACTACTTGTTGTACTATTTGATGTGTTACTTGATGGTGTATCAGCATATGGATTATAAACTGTACTACTTGAAGTACTACTTGGTGTATCAGCATATGGATTATATACAGTTCTATTGGGTGTACTACTTGGTGGTGTATCAGCATATGGATTATACACTGTACTTCTTGGTGTGCTACTTGGCGTATCAGCATATGGATTATACACTGTACTTCTTGGTGTACTACTTGGTGTATCAGCATATGGATTATAAACCGTACTTCTTGGTGTGCTGCCTGGTGTATCAGCATATGGATTATATACTGTACTCCTTGGTGTACTGCCTGGTGTATCAGCATATGGGTTATAAACTGTACTACTTGGTGTACTACTTGGTGTATCAGCATATGGATTATATACAGTTCTATTTAGTGCATCAGCATACGGATTATACACTCTTGGTCTAGCACCTAATGCTCCGACCCCAAAAGTCCCACCAAGTTTTTCAAATAATTTTGGAATAAAGGTTTTCGCATATGATTGTAAGAAAAACTAAAGAATATAAAAAAGCATGAGTTAAGTCGTAAACATTATTTGTAAAAAAAGTATTATAATTAAACTTACTTCATGTTCAGCACTATGGAGTGAAACAAAATTATGTGCCAATTCGTGACAAAATGTCATAAACCAAGATATTATTGCTTTTTCAAAAGGATCATTAAATTCTATATAATATTTTAAGTTAAAGAATAATGTCCTATCACGATTAAAGGCAACCGTTGTTGAATCAAGATCATAAAATATATTAAGTTTGTTTCGTGGAATTTCAAAAATTTCGGCAACATTTACAAGAACTCTAATAAAATCTCTCAAAAATCTTGTCATGCTGTCAGATTTAATACTAGATGGATCCATATTACTTGCAACATGAATTTCAATCTCACCCTCGGTTTTAACATATTTTAATGAAGTTTCTATATCGGAAAAAATAATGAGTATATAAAATATTTAAATGATTCAGCATTGTAATAAATCATATAAATATGAATGATACCTGGCACGGAATCACAGTGACTTTCGGGTACTGAATTAACCGTTGGTGGACTATAGACGGAATCCTGAAAATTTGACCTACAAGACATGATACCACCACGTAATAAATTATGTAATACGTTATTAGGTATGGGTGCAGATGGATCTATTTTCCTGACTTTAGTCGGTGGTTCTGCGGCTGGTGGTCTCGCCTCTGGTGGTCGACCCTTACTTGCTTTCATTGTTTTTGCGATTGGATATCCAAGTCGTTGCAGAACTTCTATTGATGAAGTCAGGTATGTATACAAAGTCAAAGAATGTTCACGTTGAGGCCGCTGATGAATATACTGAATCAAGTTTGATGCAATATCTGTATAATCTGTGTTCATACGAGCAATATAAAGGGTATATGTATTCTCATTCTCTGAAATACTAGAACTGACTTCTTCTTTATTGATCATATTGTTAGTTGTAAGCTCATAAGTGACATATACTCTATCAACTTCCATAACCTTTAAGTTTTCTATCCATTTCACTTCACACTTAATATTGTCATTAGGTATACTTGAATAATACCAAGGGACTCGCTCTAATAGTCTTTCTAAAACTTCATCAGAAATTTGTGAAGATGTTGGCATGCCTTCAGTTTCATGTGTTATCTTGACTTTTGAACTAAGTGGTTGACATCCCAAGAACTTGATAAAATAAAGGCAATTAATGTTACATATCATATATTTATAAATAACAACAAAATACACTACATATTAAATAAAAACGTACTCTATAAAATTCTTCCATTTTTTGATCCATAAATTGACATGTTAATGCGTTAAACATGTCCCGATAACGATCATTATCGTTTATAAAGATTTCATTTGCACATGCTAATTCATAACGTTCAGAATCACCATACTTTTTTCTACCCAACAAGATTGGTGATTTTTTCATTTCTCCATACAACTCAGGTTTCTCTTTAAAAATTGAAGGATAATTAAATGCAATCGTTCCGAGGATGGAAATATAAGAATCCTCATCCATACGATTCCAAAAATCTTGGGACGATCTGACAATATATTCAGCTAAATCCAAAGAGGATGGTTCTCGTTTAACTCCACAATTTTCCAAAAATATGTTTGCAGTTTCACCAAAATCAACACTTGGAAGTATATTAGCATAGCTGAATCGAAAAAAAGTCAAAAATAGTGAATAATTAGAATAATTATCAAAATAAATGTATATAGAAATACTACGTACCTTTCATTTAAACAATTTAAAAAGCAATCCCTTGGAGAATAATGAATGATTTTTCCAGGCGTGGATTTGTCTTCGATGGGAATAAATTTGAGACTTCTAAGCACTTTCCAATCTTCATGATCAAAATCACCTCTGCGCGATGACAAATAGTCGAAAACCATTTTTGCATCATCTATACTATTCGGAAGATTATTTGATAATCCCTTCAATAGTTGCTTGCCATTAGGATGTTGTCTAACGCCCAACTCTTCGGCTCTAATACGCAAATCTTTACGTAAAGCGTTAAATCCCATTATTTTACAATCGGGATTTGAAAAGCAATCTGATGGTTTTGAATAAGCTTCAAAGTTGTCACATGGTAAAAATTTATCTTGTACCAAAATTGCCTTATATTCTCTATATTTGTCCCTAAGATTATCAATGAAATAATTTAGCGCTTTCTCTCGAATTTCAAGAGCTGTAGGTTGAGATGCAAGTCGGAGAATGACTTGAAGGGATGGATATTCTTGAAGTCCAAGATTCATCATGAAATTGACTAAAACGGTGACATTCATTATAATAATCAGTATGAACCATTTAATTACTGTTATATTTTCTGTTAAATAAATTTTTTAGTTCACATACCTTCATCTGAATTTCCAATCCAATTACCTTTCCAATAGATTACTGGTAATCTAAGACATCTGTTAATAGGAAATGGAGCATATAGTTCTTTTGCCAAATATCTTCGAACATGGGCTTTTGTCTTATTTAAATCAACGTTCTCTTCTATCCAAATTGCAGTCGTTCTTAATTTTTCAATGTCATTACTATTAAGGCTTTTTGATATCGAAGCGAAATAATTTATAAGATTCATATGATCTGAATTGTTATTATTAACCATGCGACTGAAAACAAGTTGTAATTCTACGTGCTATAAAGTAAGAATTAGTAATGATAAAGTTACAATTGTTTTAACGAAAGCATTTAAATTGCAACTCCATTTTTTACCTTGTGCACACCCATTTGCACGAAAAAATCTTCAGAAACATCATTCATAGTAAATCTTGGCAAATCATCAAACAGAGTTACTTCCGGAAAATATGTGTCAACTGGCCTTTTCAGGCCAAATTGAGTTGGAATACATGATTTTTGAGAAAGTAATTTGCATATACTAATCCGAGATTCACTGTCCATTGATTTATAACCTTGAGAAAGAATTCCTATAAAATTTTCCGCAAAGGCTGTATCATTTCCTAATTTATATTTTCTGAGGATATGTTTCGCCCAAATTCCCAAGGGAAGCTCTGTCCAGTTTCTATATGGAATGAAATAAATGAAGTTGAAGCGATAATAAAAGAATCAGAACGAATTATTTAATTGAGATGTTGTGTAATACCCAAAATATTTCTGCAATTCTTTAAGTTTAAATGCCTTGCTGACAGAATATGGTAAAACATCAAATGGAACATCTGATTCTGGAGGTATTGTTTTTATATTAAGGTAATAATGAACGTTTTTCAGTGGTAAAACATTCGTTCCAACACGTAAAACGGCGAACTGTAAAAATTTTTCTTG